CAATGTAATGGGAGAATAACCTCTAGTGGCAATCGGCCTGAAGCCCACGGACCGGATTTGTGACAGAGCCCTCCCCCAAGGAGCAGCTTCCAGATGCTCCCAACACAAAACCATCCAGGAGGGTGGTGGAGCAGAGGCGGAACAGGGGGAGGGACAGTGGGCCAGCTCCATGTGGAAATGGAGAGACTGGGAACTGAGGTAAAGCCGGCAGAGCAGGACACCAAGGTGGAGCAGACGGAACCGGAGCCCACTAGGGCAGAGCAGACGGAGCAGAAGACCTCCATGGCGGATCAGACAGAACAAGAGCCCATCTTGAGCCTAACTCAGGGACATGAACCCCTCCTGGGCGGAACTGAGGATCTGGAGCCCTTCCAGGGCGGTACTGGGGATCAGGATAGCGCTTTTCGAGAAGCTGGCACGGGAGTGAGTCTTGGGGCAGGAGCCGACACTGGAGCGAGCTCCGGGGCTGGAGCCGACACTGGAGACAGGGAAACAGGAGCCCTCCGTGGACTATACTCGGGAACAGGAGCCCTCTGTGGTAGGGACTGGGACCTGGGGAAAACTGAGACACAAGAGACAGACAGAGCATATACAGTCTCCATAGCCGTGACAGGACGAGCAGAGAGTTCACAAACGGCCTCTATAGCCGTGACAGGACGGGAAGTGAGTTCACAGATGGCCTCCATAGCCGTGACAGGACGGGTAGAGAGTTCACAGACAGCCTCCATAGCCGTGACAGGGTAGGACAAGGATTCACAGATGGCCTCCTTAGCCATGACAGGACAAACAAGAAGTTCACAGGTAGGTATTACTGACACCTCTGGAGGTTCTGCAGCGGATGCCGCCACCTCTGGAGGTTCTACAGTAGTGCCCTCAGGATACAGGGAGAGTTCAGCAAAGGTTCCTTCTACCTTGACATGACAGGTTGAAAGTGCGTTTCTGGGCGCCACCACCATGCAAGGAGCTGAAGCGAGCACCGCGGCTTCGGGAGGTTCTGCAGCATGCGCCGCCACCTCTGGAGAAACTGCAGCGGGCACCATTGCTTCGGGAAACACAGCAGCGAGCACCACTAACTCAGGAGATTCTGCAGCTTCAGCCGCCACCTCTGGAGACCTAATAGTGGGCGCCGCCGCCTCTGGGAGTTCTGTGGTGGTGTATGCGGCCCAAACACACCAAAAAGCGATCCCCATCAAGGGAAGCGCTTCAGACAGGAGAATCAGTTCAGGAACAGGAGGGTTAAAGTGAGTAGGTTTCGGGATACCAGCTGCGCGTGCAGACACCAGCGGTGCATCCCTCACACTGGATACCAGACTGGGATACCGAAGGACTGACCTTGATAATCTGGGTGCAACAGACAGGACGTGACGTGACTCTGGATGATCCGCTGTGAGGTGACGTGACTCTGGATGATCAGCTGTGAGGTGACGTGACTCTGGACGATCAGCTGTGAGGTGACGTGACTCTGGACGATCAGCTGTGAGGTGACGTGACTCTGGACGATCAGCTGTGAGGTGACGTGACTCTGGACGATCAGCTGTGAGGTGACGTGACTCTGGACGATCAGCTGTGACTTGACTTGCCTCATGAAGATCAGCTGTGACTTGACTGGACTCAGGAAGATCAGCT